AGGTTGTTCAGCTGAGACTGTTGCCCTCAAATGGGCTTTTTTTTCCTAATTTTATCCCCTACTTGTCAGGGGCTGCTTGACCCCACTCCAACAGGCTCCCCTGGCCAACATCCTTAGCTGAATCTCACCCTGTGAGAGCCAGGAGGGCCTGGTAGGTGGGAGGAGGAGCCAAGCCCAGCCCAGGCCAGCCCGGGCTCCTTCCCTCCACACAAACAGCTGCCCACACAAATTCCGTGTGTTTTTATTAGAGCTAAAACATTTACACAGCACAGGTCCTGGAGCAGAGGGAGAGCTGCAGTGACACACACACACATGCTGCCCAGCCCAGAGCAGAAAGAAGAGAGCACACCAGCAAGCTCCCACTAAGCTTCCAGGAGCTGCAGGAGAAGATACTGGGGGTGTCAGTACTTGGGACGTTTCACTTCAACCCTGGAAGAGACAGAGGGAAGGATGGTGGTGAGGACACAGAGCCAGCCAGGCCCCAGCACTGCCCTGAGGCCAAGCCAAGAGCAGACAACTTTACTAACCCATCAGCCTCCAGCTTCTTCCTCTTCTCGATGATCTGCAGAGAAAGCACAAGGTCCCATCACCCCCAGAGTAGCTGACTGCCCATAACTGCAGCAGAGGGGCTGGAGCGTGCAAGACACACCCATGGAGAGCTGCAGCCTCACCAGAGCAAGCCAAGGTGAGCTCAAGTTGTCCACAGGCTGCTAAACGTCTGGAGGAGCTTGGCCTGTTCCCCCTTTGCTTTATTTTGGCCACCAAAGGCCATTTGTTCACACCCTCCCCGTGCCCACTCTGTGCTGCTGAGGTACCCATGGCCAGCTCACCTTGCCAGGACAACCCCCAGTTAGAACATGAACCCACTAAATGTGGCTAGTCCCCTCTGAGCTGCTCATTTTGGACACATGCAGGGCCTGGAGCAAAAAGCCCCCAACAGGGACTGCTCCCAGGGAAGCAGCTCCAAATGAAGCTCCAGGGGCCTCTGCAGTCCTGAAGCCCCAAATATTTGGCTGGTGATCTCCTGAGGAGCAAATCCAGTTTCTAAAGAACCAGCCCAGCTGCCAGGGCATGGAGTGCACCAGAGACTCGTGACTAGGACAGTGAGGGCAGAACGAGGTGGGAGCTCTCCTGGGCTACTCTGGCAGCTCGTGGCCTCAAGGGAGAACACCTCAGCCCCGGGCACTCACCGCACTGATCTTCTTCCACTGCCGGTCCAGCTCTGCCTTGTCGTTCGTCTCCTTGAAGCGCCGGGTCTTGCGTCCCTCGGACATCTTGATCCCATACTGGAAGGCCGCCCTGGAGAAGAAGAGCTCAGCGCTCACAGGGCCTCCACCAGGATCCACAGCTCCTCTCCAGGTCCTCAGCAGCAAACCCCCTCCCTTGCTTTCATCTCCCACAGACCGGCGCAGCCACCCCCACCCAGAATCTTTCACAGGGGTTGTGCTCACTTGGGCAGAGCCTCCTTGTTGTTCATGTACTCGCTGTACTCCTCCTGGGTGTCGAAGTCCCAGCGGCCCAGAGGTCCCTTCTTGTTACCCTGCAGTGAAAGAATGGCTCACAGAAGGTCCTCAGCTGCCCAGGGCTTCCCCACACAGCCCGGCAAGATCTCAGTCTCCTGCTGGCCCCAGCTCGCTGGGTTTGTGTGCCTGGTCCAGCCTTGGCTCTGAGATCCCCTCCCTGAGAAGCCCCAGGCAGGAGATTCTGCAGAAGCGAGCACCAAGGTGGGCCAGTGCACTTCCCAAACACCTCTTAGTGAAGGGCCAGAGTGTCCCATGGGACAACAGGTCCCACCCAGAGGCCGGCACAGATTCTGCAGACCAGCAAACCCCAAACCACACTGCACACCCAGCTCCAGAGCATCCAGCCCTCCAGCAACAGCTCCCTGCTCTCCAATGGGGTCTTCTCAGCCTGCACCCACGCCCAGTGTGCTGGCTGGTGACATCATACCTGATCCATTTTGCTGTAGTCCACCTCTTCATCGCTGTCCACAGCCATATCATCCATCCTGGAAAGGAAAACACAGGGTTTGGAGTGGGGTCATAGGATGTGGATTAGGACCTTGGAGCCAGGCTGGTGGGAGCCATCACACCTGACCTCATACTGAACACAGTTCCTGGACCAGACAGAAGTTCCTCCACCCTGCACGTGAGCTGCACCACAAGGGCACCCAAGATTGCAAACGCTCCCCAGATGACTCTGCAGCCTGAGGGCTGTTCCTCTTCTGCTGAGGGACCGCTCTGCTGCCAGAGCTCAACCCCCATATGAATGAGAGCACAAGGCTTGGGAGGAACAGCTGAGGGACCTGGGGGTGCTGAGCCTGGAGCAAGGGAGGCTCAGGGGAGACCTTCTGGCTCTCCACAGCTCCCTGACAGGAGGCTGGAGCCAGGTGGGGGTCAGGCTCTGCTCCCAAGGAACAAGCGACAGGACAAGAGGAAATGGCCTCAAGTTGCTCCAGGGGAGGCTGAGGTTGGAGCTGAGGAACAATTTCTTCTCTGTCAGGGTTGTCCAGGCCTGTGCCAGGCTGCCCAGGGCAGTGGTGGAGTCCCCACCCCTGGAGGGGTTTCCAAACCGTGGAGATGTGGTGCTGAGGGACATGGGTTGGTGGTGACCTGGCTGTGCAGGGGGAACTCTTGGATTTGATCTTACCAACCCAAACGACTCTTGGAGTTACCAGGGAACCTGGCAGAGTCCCACCCACCTCGCCTTCCCTTGGCACTGAGGGGCAGCAGATCCATTTACAGCATAAACTACCGAAGAAAAGACCACGTCTGCCAGAACCAAGGACTGGGGGAATGTTTTAGCAGGAGGTGGAGCCCCAGACATGCCAGGCCCTGCTCCTCCCAACATGCAGCGGGGCTGATGGCCACATTCTTGCTGCAGGGAGCAGCAGCCCCTCGGCACAGCCTGCTCCCAGCCCACAGCTTCCTGCCCTTCCTTACGTAGCAGGGTAGCACTCGGCGTAGCTGTTGGACATGCCAAAGAAGTCTCCCAGCTGCTTCTTGTCTTCTGGCTTCTTCAAGGTGATAGTGGTCAAGGAAAGCACCACCAGCCTACGAGCTGAGCAGAGCCACATGAGGAGCCACCTCCTGCCCTAACCCAACTGGAGGCTGCAGAGCTCGTGTTTGGCATTGGGAGCAGCAAGGTTTGGGCAGACCTCTGCAGAGCCCCACAGCTGGCCAGGCCAGCCCAGACAGTAAAGGATATGACTCTGCTCCTTCCCAGCCCGTGGCTCCAGAGAACTTCTCATTGATGGACTTGATGAGCTCCTTGGCTGAGCCGGGTCCTGGGGCAGAGAGAACAGCAGGCTGAGGTCTGGGGGAAGAAGAGCTCACCACAATACAGGTGGGGATGGGCAGAACCACCTTCTGCAGAAGCAGTTCATGGGGAGGGGGTGACAGGCAGAGGACAGGCTGCAGGGGAGAGGAGAGAAGGAGCCAGGGGAGCACCAAACACAGAGCTCATGCAGAGCAGTGAGCCCAGGGGCTCCAAAACCTGCAGCTATCCCGTGGCCTCGCTCCAGGGTCCTGCCTCAAACCTCCATGCCACTCAGCTCACCTTTGTCAACGTCTGTGGGCTGCAAAGAAGAGGGAGAGACACGATGTCACCCAGAGGGCTGAAAGCAGGCAAGTGACAGCCACACAACCCGCTGCCCTGCACCAAGGCTCCCTGTGGAGCTGCCTGCCAGCCAGCAGGACCTTGGTGAGGAGACAGAGTGCACCCTCAGGGAGTTTGCAGACAACACCAAACTGGGTGGGAGTGTTGATCTGCTGGAGGGTAGGGAGGCTCTCCAGAGAGACCTGGACAGACTGGATCCATTGGCCACAGTCAACTGTGTGAGCTTCAACAAGAGCAAGTGTCAGACCCTGCACTTGGGTGCCAACAACCCCATCCAATGCTACAGGCTTGGGGAGGAGTGGCTGGAAAGCTCCTTGGAAGAAAGGGACCTGGGGGTGTTGATCAACAATATTGGCCAGCAGTGTGGCCAAGAGGGCCGACAGCATCATGGCTTGTATTAGAAACAGTGTGGCAAGCAGGCCCAGAGAGGTGACTGTCCCTTTGGACGCTGCACTGGTGCTACCACACCTCGAGTACTGGGTTCAGCTCTGGGCACCTCACTGCAAGAAAGACATCAAGGTGGTGGAGCGGCTCCAAAGAGCAGCTAAGCTGGTGAAGAACATGGTATAAGAACATGGCTTGTGAGGAGCTGCTGAAGGACCTGGAGCTGTTTAGTCTGGAGGAGGCTGAGAGGCAACCTTATCACTCTCTACAGCTCCCTGAAAGGACATTATAAAGAAGCAGACACTGGTCTCTTCTCACAAGTAACTAGTGATAGAACAAGAGGGAATGGGCTCCAGCTGCTCCAGGGGAGGTTTAAACTGGACATTAGGAAGAACTTCTTCACTGGAAGGGTTGTCAGGCAGTGGAACATGCTGCCCAGGGAGGTGGTTGAGTCCTCATCCCTGGAGGGGTTTAAAAGCCGTGTAGATGTAGTGCCTGGGGATATAAGCTAGAAGTGGAGGCGGCAGAGTTGGGTTAATGGTTGGACTCCATGATCTTAGAGGCCTTTTCCAACCGAAGCGATTCTATGACAGAGCTCACCAAGAGCTGCACGCTGGCAAGCGTGGGAGCAGAACCCAACGCCGCCGGGGTGACTCCACCATCCCGCTGGCAGCACTGCCCAGAGGGCTGAGGTCAGGTGGGACAGGCCAGGCTCACCTCATCGTCGGCCTTGGGCTTCTCGAAGTAGCTGTGCCTCTTCTTCTCCTCCTCTCGGTCCCGCTCGCGGTCCCTGTCCCGCTCCCTCTCTCGGTACCGCTCCCGCTCCTTGTCCCGTGGCACCTTCGCCGTGGAGGGCACGTAATCCCCGATGTCTTCAAAGATGCTACAAGTGAAGCAGAGCCAGCAGTCAGGGGTGCTGCAGGAGCAGAGGCCACAGACACCTCCCTTTGAGCATGGAGCCTAACACGGAGCACCCAGCAGCGCCACCAGGAGCTGAGGACACCCACGGGAACCAGCTGCTGCCTCTGCCACAGGTCTCGCTGCCCTTCTGCTCCCCAGACCTGTGAGAGCTCCATGGAGAGCGTCAAAAATCAAGCCCAGAGCATGTGGGGTTTGTGACTGGGGGGGGTTTGGGAGTAGGGGAGAGAGCGACTGGTGTGACTCCTGTAAGAAGCTTCTAGGAGCCCCACCCGCTCCAAGTTGGGCCCATATTTGGCCAAGGCTGAGCCAATCAGTGACAGCAGAAGCACCTCTGCAATAACATATTTAA